TTATACATAGCATACAATTATTATAATCAAACTGTTTTTATTGCTGTTGAGTTCATTAAAATATAGAAAAAGTATAAAAATGTTATAAATTTAGTTATAGAAAAATGTAGTAAAATGATAAGTAAAAAATTGAACAACGTTAAAAAGAAAACAGCTAAATACAATTTCTTTTTTATTTTCCACTGTTCAAAATAATAAAACATAACAGAAAAAGAAATGACTACAGAAGAATTTAAAAAATATGTGAAAAATATACACCGGCCGAGTAAATATTGATAAGTAAACAAGAACAAACATCTTCACTCATTCTCGACACAATTTATACTTGAAAAAATATCTGGCTTCAATTTATGATGATCATTTTGTGGTAGGAGAATGTTTAATGAACCAGTTTATACGCGAAAAACTCCGTTCAAAAATTTTGGTAGGATGTGTAATCAGATGATGTATTCACTCGCGATATCAGTTAGAAAACGTAGGAAGCATGAAAAAAAATAATTCAAAAAGCATCTATCTATCCAACGTTAGTCTACATCTATCATATGAAAATAATCCAAGAGTAAAAGAAAAAACTTTCTTCATTAGACATTTATGTAAATAGTTTATAATTATTTTCTGTTATTTGATAACTGGACAATATCATTTGTTCTAGCTGATTCTCTAATAGCCAATAGAATTTGTTGTACATTTTGCACTAAATCTAAATTGCAAATATCTAAAAACGTAATTTTTCCATTAACAAATGTTTCTTTTAAATGACCAAGAAAATAATATAACGACTGAATATAATACATTGGTAATTCAGGATAAATTTTTGTTTGTTCCAAATATTTTTCACCTGTTTCACTATGATACGAATCAATTATAGTTCGAGGTTGATCATCGATGTTAGCATCACTAAAGTAACAAACAGATATAAGATAAAAAAAGAAAGAACATTTGAAAATTATTTAAAATCAAATTTTGTGTCTTTAAACACTTTCCATATTAGATATAATAAAAATTAGATGGATGTGTCTATTGACAGTAGCAAGACTAACAGCAACATCTGCTTTCACATGGTGCGCAAGTTTGTTCGATATTTGTACAGCTTAAGTGTACAGTCGACGCACTAACACACTGTAACACAACTGAGAGTGAATAGATGTATATTTAAACTAAAAGTATCTGATACATCAACGTGGAAGTTGATGTTACTGTCCGCCTTGCTAGTGTCGATAGACATTTAAAATGATTACAACTGCATTTTGCAAATTAAACATTTCACTAAGAAACGGACTAGGATCAGAATCAAAATACTCTTCTGGTTTGTGTATAACTTTGTGAATAACTTTTTAACAGAAAAACTTTCAGAACTCAGTCAAATGAATTTTCTAATTTTACGTGAAAATAGGCAAAAATGAATGACGTCGTCTAATATGTGTTCACTAGGTTTATGTAACTTTCTCAAAAAACCATCGTTGCCACGAGATTCAGCATGGTCGGTAATCTATGTTTCCAGTTTAACAAACTCTTCTCTTTCCAGTTATTTTCGAGGTTTCTCGCGTTGAAAATAAGGAAACATGTCTGTCCCAGCAAAACTGAGCCGTCTCGATAACTGGAGAAAACTACTGACCTCGGACTTGCACAGATCGATAGAGAACATTTTTATCTAACCATATAATTTGAGCTGAAAGTGTAATGGAAATGCT